ATATATATATATATATATATATGTATATATATATGTATATATATATATACTTACAGACAACTTCTAGCCAATATGCGTTTTTGCATTTGCATAAAAAGTTGCACTGTTCCACAGGGGACCATATTTTCATTCAGTAAAAAGGCAGAATTTACGTGTGCTATTAGAATAATCACCAGTTAGCATGACTGCTGATGGCCCCTTCATATTATTTGGATCGCCTTGAATATAAGCTGGAGACAGCATACTCAACATAAAATCAATATGCCACTCAAAATAATCAGAAAATGATAGGAAAATTAAGTTCTAATGCTTCGCGTCAATCCGACAAGTTAATTCAACGACGGTAATTTTTTTTTAATCACAATGGTCGTACTGACAAGGTCCAACTGTGGTAAAGGTAAGAAATGTATGCGACACAATGGATCGAAACATTTCTTACCTACTTTAATAATTTCTTTTATGTTTTTCAAATAATCAGAAAATGATAGGAAAATCAAGTTCTAATTAAGTTTTTCCTTTAATTCTAAAATATAAAACACTATTATACTTTTATCAAACAAACAACTACTTACTCGGAAGAAGTCAAAAAGTGCACTGCTCTTCCTTGCATGTTTCTTCTCAAGCCGAGCTTTCTTCTCGTTTCGTAGCGATCTTAAAATTTAGACAAGTTCTGAGCTTAGGGAGCAAAAAATGATGATTTCCGGTTACGAATAGCCAGCGTGCGAAAAAAAATGACTCGAAGGAAACATAAATGAAAATGATGGCTCCAACGAAAAGCAATTTATACTTATAAAACAAAATTTAACCTGATACTCGATCTCTTGGGCGAACAGCCGCCACCGCCGCCACCACCACCCAGTGAGCGCAAAGATCGATGTGCTGGCGAGAAAACCTGGGAAAAAATTTTGTTTTATGACCGATACATGTATGCAAGCAATAATGACATTTACATATATGTTAACAAACACCCCAAACAACGTCTCACAAACGCACAACAGTGAAATCTGTAATAACGATGAAATCACCAGAAAAAATGACAAACTGTGTGCCCCACCATCACCACCAAAGTCTCGTCTTATTCTGCATTAGTCATAATGCAATGTCAATTTGAACCTCCATTTAGGTATACGATTTCCCAAATTAATGACAAATATTCTGGGGGATTTACAGCTGTGGTTTTCTCGCTAGTTACTGAGTTGTCACGGAGCCAAATAAGAACTTTGACGTGGTAAGTGTGAGCGATAACTGAATTTGAAAAAAAAAAGCCGGTGCAGACTATCATAAACTGATACTGTTATGCATGGCCAGGAGGCTTCAAAGCGCTCTAGCTTCTTTGTTATGCAGTCTCGGAAAAAAAGAGAGAAATACTGAAATTGTTGGCAGCAAGTGACTGCTGCTGATGGCAATGTGCTTTCGAATCTTCCCACTTCTGGCAGGAGGCCAAAGACGGGAGAATTTTTTGAAAATCAGCACGGATCAATTTTTGAACAACAGAGTTAGAATGATCAACAAAAAACGCTTGGATTTCACCCACAAGCAATAAAAAAACCATGCATAGTATGCGATGGATAATGAAAATTTACCGCACTCGCGCTATTTTTTTCAGCATAATTCGCGATTGCTGAAAATCTTCACATAAAAAGAAATCAAGCTATCGTGCTAAAGCGAAGAATACCCTCCGGGAAAAAAAGGATACCTGGATTGAAAAAAGGAGAGGAGTGAGAAACAGGCTACAAAGCAAGCAAAGTCACTGCCAGCTATTACTTGTGCCGCTACAAAAGGCTGCTATGGCCTTCCATGCGTTAACATTTGTCGTGTAATAGATCAAATAATGATCAGTGGTTTTTTGTTAAAAGTAAGTTAAAGAACCTCACCACCTTTTTATGCATTATCTCTTTAACTTACTGTGTATTAATAAATATGTATATAGGGCGCGACGTCGTACATACACATACACACTCCTACAACTGGGGCACACACTAGTCTAATAAGCTAACAGTTACAGCCGCGATACATTGAAAAGACAGTCCATGTTCAAAAAAAAAATTCTCAAGAGCTCACCTGATGTGGGGCAAATGCGATTGGCAAAACTTCTCGCCTCCATTTCTGGCTATTTTCTTTATCAATCCCCTGATGATGCCTGCTTTCAACCGCTTCTTCTGGCACTTCTAAAAAAGTTTGCATGTAGTTTAACTCCACAAAAGACAAGGAAACGAACAACGTGAGTAGCACACAAGAATTTTGAAATCATACGCTGACCTTTAGAGGGATGTAACAACAATTCGTTAACATCATGGTTCGACGAAGAAAGCTTTTTCATGCTATCCGCTTTTTGAATTTCTGACCAATTAACGTAATTCCTTTCGTCCAAAAGCATCTGACTTTTGCAGCGGCTTTGTAAATCGCCATTTCTGGATGGCACACAACGCATCAACACATCTTTTTCGGCCTAAAAAGAAAAATTTTTACACAAAAAAATGAGCAGTTTTTACACAAAATTTTTTTTTTACAAAAATTTTTACACGAAAACAAAGAATGTAAAAGATTTTGATGCTATAAAAAAAGTATTTAAACGATTAGCTTCAGCAATGAGTAGTAGGAAGTGCTGGAGAAGCAAAAATGACCGAAAACAGTTACAACGCAGAAGCCGTCAATGCTAATTTGCACCGCTTTATATTTCAAATCATTGATAAAATGCAAGGAAGGGAGGAGATGACGAAAAACAAAAGCTGCTCCTAATAAATATAGCCTACTGCTTCCCAGCTAATATAACAAAGATACCTGGTGATCGCGGTTTTGCGAGTGCCCATCTGAGACACTACTTCTCGGTACATCCACTGCTCTCTCATGATAATTGTTCACGGGATCTTCCTTTTGGTTGAAGTCAACAAGTGGCTCGGGCTCATCCAAATCACAGTTGTAATTTTCCTCACTCTCCTGCACAAATTTTTGTTGCAGCAATTAAAATTAGCAGTTCATGAAATTGTTTCGTTGTGACCACAAATTTTCTTCTGGAAAGCGGAGTTCCAGGTTTCTAGCTTTTCTTGTTCCTGAGTTAGCAATTTTCCCGCCAAAACTCTCTTATGTTCGTGCACGGGGCTCAGACGTTCGTGAGAGTTGACATCGCGGTCCTGGGGTGGCACTTGGCCGGCAAGCGAAAGAACAGAGAAAATGCCGGAAAGGCTAATGGCTCCGGAAGTGGAGAAATGCAGCATCCCTGCAAATCCTGCTGACTGTGCATCGCTCAGCATTTCATCCCTGTCAAGACGAAAAAACCTTGTAGACTATGAAATAACAGTCCAGAAGGACTGTACTCAGGCGTCTCATGTGTAAGGTGATATTTTACGGTGCAAACTGTCTATTTTTTAGCCGAAAAAACCTTAGAAGACTACGAAAAAGACCAGCAGGATTGTACTCAGGCGTCTCATGTGTAAGGTGATATTTTACGGTGCAAACTATCTTTCATCGTTTAGATGTAGTAATAGTAAGGTGATATTTTACGATGCAGCCTTTGTGTGTTTCATCCCTTAGCTGTAAACATAGACCGGACATGAGAGACACGCAGTACCATAATGGAGTTCAGTCCAGCATAGGATTATTTTCCAGTCGTAGAATCTATTTTGAGAAAAGTTTAAAAAACGCCAAACATACCAAACGTCCATCAATATGTTCCGATATAACGCTCAATTCACGCCATGAAACTGGTGCCTGGTTGCTGCTGCTAATCGGAAGAGAACATGAAACGAAATCCGATGAACCAAAATCATCGTATCTGCAGGATCGCCCACTTTTTAGACGTATTTCGCTGCAAAAAAGAAAAAAACAGCTATTTCCCCACACATTTAATAACAATTACATCCCGAAGCATTTTTTTTATTCTTTTTATAGCAGTTTGCATTTCAGCCCCATTTTACTGGGAAATGTGTGTTTCCTCACAGTTGTACTTGCAGCCCAGTTTGTTCTAGATAACTGTAAATTTACTGAAGAAAAATTTATTAAAGTCAATTAATTAAACATTTTTTTTGGCTAAAAATTCTACCGAGCTTTTCTTCGATTTCAAATCTTCCAGCTTTTTTTAGATCCCAAATCTTCTAGCTTTTCTTCGATTCCAAATTTTCTTTCAACAGTTTTTAGCTGATAACTTCGTTTTCCCAATTACATGTGTGTGCATTCCAAAAACAATTTTTGAACAAATTTTTTTTTTTTTTATATCGAATGCTAAATATACTTTTAGTAGGCAATTAGGCAGAATTAAAATGCTATTCCAAAATGCAAATATTAGCAGCTACTACTGAAAATAGATCAAAAACCGAATTCTACAGCAAAACATCTAAAAAATACAAATTTGATCGAGGTTAAAATGTCTCGGAGACTGAGCTGTGTACAGTCAGATCAGCGTCACAGATGGGAAATTAAAAGTAACATTCTTCTTCGGAACAATCGATAACTCTTCCCTCCCCCCCCCCCCCCCCCCCCCCCCCCCC